TAATTTTAGATAATCATTGAATTATAACATAATACTTAATTATTATCTTAAAAAATTATTTTATTAAAGTTAAAATAAATTAGTCGTTTTTAAACTTCAATTAAATTTTAATAAAAAAATTGAATTAAAGAAATTACACAAAAACGAGAAGTTTTAAATAGTTAATTTGATACAAATGTCATTTATTTTTTTTCAAAATTTTATAATATCTTCAAATTTATATTTCATTAAAAAAATAAACATTTTTTTTCTCAAAACCACATAAAACCGCATTATAACATCAATAGAGCCAAATATAAAACGAAACATTAAAATCAAGATGTATCTCGCTAATCCATATTCCATAAACGCAAATAAAGTCCGGGCCGTGTCACTTGTTGAACCATGAATGATATTGGGTTGTTTATTAAGTTAAGCAAAATCCAGCCCAATACCAAAAAAGCAAGCCCATTTATTTAACAATAAGCCCATTATTAGTTTTAACTTGGTCACCAATAATTCAATATAGTCCAAGGGCCCAATTCAATTTTTGTTTATTAGAATTTTTTTTGATAAGTTTTTGTTTTTCATTTATTTATTGATGTTTTCAAAAAGAATGAAATTGAATAAAAAAATGTTTATATTTGAGTAAAAAAATTGATTACCGATAAACTTAACCGACCCCACATGGAACCTGTCTCTAAATACATTTTTGTAAGGGGACATTTTTTCGGTCTACTCAGCAATTAAGTTTTAAGAACCACAAGAGTGGTACCTGATTGGTTTGAGCTTGGCTCCAAATATCAAAAGTATCAGGAGCTCCCATGTTCAAATCCAAGGAGGAATAAAAATCCCCTTGTGGCCACGGAGATTCAAATGCGGTGACTCCGGGCTATCTGCAAAGCAGGTGGTCGCCCTGAGATTAGTCGGCTCGCATAGCGGGTTGGATATCCAGGTTAATCAAGAAAAAAGTATTAAGAGTATCTTCAACAAATTCTAAAAAATGTATAAAATTATGATCTTGCGAAATAATTTGTTTCAACAAAATTTTGAAACGTTCTCCAATATGTTTGAATATATAAGAGAGAAAATAAAATTCTTCAATTTTCAAAAAATCGTAAAATTGATGAATATGTGATTTAACAAAAGTTTGATTTTTTTTATAATATAAAGTATTGATAAATATTCAAATCATAATAAATGAGTTCTCATCATTTCCATAAACATCTAAATTGATTGGGTTGCATTGGTTGTACAAATGTGATAGTTGCATTTGAAACGTTCTCTCTCTCTCTCAACAACCTATTAACCTCATATTGTGATAACAATAAAAATTGAAAGATTTTTTAAATTAAAAATGAAGTTTTAAATCAATCTAAAGTATATATGAGTAAACTTAATTTTTAATTTAAAAGGATCTAGGTGAAGATCCTTTTTGATAATCTCATGACCAAAAAGGATCTTCACCTAGATCCTTTTAAATTAAAAATGAAGTTAAAACAATTCAAAAAAAATTTGAGGCAAAAGGGTAATATTGGAATTTAAAATGATAAAATTTTAAAAACACGATCACACTAAACCCAATAATTAGGATAACAGCTATTATGGTTATCGCTTATTTCAACATGATTTGGTGTGATTTGGGTGATTATCACACAATTATCACAAGGATTTTGCTCGGCTAGGGTTAACTTAGGAAATCGACTACCGATTTGGTGTGATATGAGTGTGATAATCATGTGATATCACTATCATAACAGTGCACTCGATTTGATCATGGTTTCGATCGGTTAGGTTTAGACAATCACACATTTATCACAACAATTACTCATGGTTTCGATAGGTTAGGATTAGACAATCACACATTTATCACAACGATTACGGGCGAAGTTTACAAAACGATTTGGTGTGATAATCATGTGATATCACTATTATAACATCACTTGTGCACTCAATTTGACCATTGTTTTGATAGATTAGAGTTAGACAATCACACATTTATCACAACAATTACTCATGGTTATACTCGATTGATCATGGTTTCGATAGGTTATGGTTACACTCGATTAATCATGGTTTTGATAGGTTATGGTTACACAATCACACAATTATCACAAGGGAAGAGAAGAGAGTGTAAACGAACATGCCGGAAAAAGGATAATTATAATTAATAAAAATAAAATAAAAATTATTTAATTACATTACTGCCCTTATTAATTTATTTGTATTTAATATAAGTTAATTTATTAAATAAAAAAAGTTTGAGGTTATTAGGTTGTTTATTCGCGTTCTCGTAAATCACAGGGGTTCTCGTTTGAACCTCCACCTATATATATATATATATATAGTTGGGTTCACGTGAGACCAACATGCTTCGTAAGACACGTGAGACAAAATTTTTACATTTGAAACTTCACAACAAAATGTTATGAAGATAAAAAAAAAATACGAACCTTCAGAATAAAAAACATTATGAACATTATATTCACAGTTTTTTGTTGTGAAGTTTCAAGTATAAAAATATTGTCTCATGTATCTCACAAAAACAACATTGTCTTACATGATCTCAAGTCTCTATATATATATATATATGTATATATGTGTAATAGATAATGTTATATATTATTTTATGTTAAAATCAGATTAAACCATATATTAAAATTTGAGAATATGAAAAATAAATATGAAGACAAAATATGAAGCCTGTAATTAGCAAGAAAATAGACAAGACACAAAACACACGTGAAATTCGAAAACAAACAATGAAACAATTGTCAACCACCAAATGAATTGAAAGCACCCCCTCCAATTTTTCATTTTCATTTTCATTTTCATTTTTATTTTTATTTTTATTTTCATTTTTATTTTTATAAAAACAAAAGAGGAAACAAAGCTGAACACCCTTCTGGCCTTCTGCAACCACCCACGCATGCCTGCCTGTCTGCCTACCCCTGGACTTCACTCCTTTGGCCTCTTTCGTCATTTCATTTTTCTTTTTCATTTAAATATTCTCTCAAAATATCCATAAATTTTAATTAAATACTTATTTTTAAACCTAACATTAAATTTCAAAAATGTCATTAAATCAGTAAGTAATATCTTCTTGATTTACAGAGTGGTCAAAGTGTAAACAAAAGAAGTTTCTTAACCAGATATATCGATTAGTTTCAACAATTCCGCAAGTGATGAAGGTGACCTGGTTAGAAACTTTTTTACATTTTGACCCCTCCGTAAATTGAGAAGGTGTCACTTATGACGTTTTTGAAATTTGAAGAGAAAAATGGCTAAAAGATGAATCTAGAGTCTGAAAATGGCTATTTTTATTAATTTCCCTAACTTTTAAACTCTTCAAATCTCAAGCTTTTATAGCCCATATATTTTTCAAAGGTTGGTTTAAAACTAAAAACTATGTATATATTGATATCAAATATACCTTGTTCGTGGCACCTCATCTTAAGCTATTGTCATGGACTCATGGGCGGTTAACGAGAATCGGAGGACTGTATAACAGCCTAGATTAACCATTTCAGATCTTATCTGCTTTGTCCACATCTGGATCCATGATTTTATAAACATCTGATAGAGAAGGAATATAGTACCTTATTAGACAACATTTGTTCTCCTTCTTAACTGATGCGGGATCTTAATTCTTACAGATTGTTTTCCTGACACGCACGTGCCTTTTTAAAATACATATTAAGAGTAAGAAAAATGTTAGGACTTTATCATGACCCCTAAAACGTGAGTGATACAATGTAGATTTTTTTTGATTGACCTGAATATCCAATCCGTTATGCGAACCGACTAATCTCAGGGCAATCACCTGCTTTGCAGATAGCCCAGAGTCACCGCATTTGAACCTTCGTGCCCAAAAGAGGATTTTTATTCCTCCTTCGATTTAAACTTGGAATCTCCTGATACTTTTGACATTTGAAGCCAAATTCAAACCAATCAAACACCACCCTTTAGCCTTGGGGATGTAATTATGTGTGTAATAATGGAGAAAAGGAATATTTGGCTCACATTTTCATAAAAAGAAGGATCTCTTCTTTTGTTTACCCACTTTCACTTTCCTTTACTTTTTCCACCAAGTCTTCTCCACTCATCATGTTAATTATAACCTTAATTATACCAAACTTTTATATTTTATATATAATAAATAGAACAAATAAACTCACATACCCTCTTTATATTTGGTGAGGTTTAAACCTTTGACCGTCTAAAAAACCAAGAACTCACATACCGTTAGCCCAAAGACCCTTTGGTCAAACTTTTATACTTGTTGGGGTCGTTTACATCGAATAGATTTGGATTTATTTTTTTCTATTTAATATGTGATTTTTAAGAGATTTTTTGGATTGTAATCTTATGAGGTTCCATATATTTTTAAATGGAATCAAAGTTAAAGTCTACAACTTTAGGGACTTGATACTCTATGTCCGTCTAACTCTTTGTCGACACTTTGGAATGACCAGTGACTTTCTAGCCATCGTTGGAGATGACGTGCTGGAGTTTCACATCGACTAGACTTGAACATTTTATTCTTAATATATATTGGGGCGTCTCTTTTCTTCTCCAGTACTCTTTGGAACAGTAGTCCGGTGGAGTTTCACTTACTCTTGCAATATTTAAATTCAAAAAATAGGCTTAAATAAGAATAAAGTAAAAAAAAAAGATACGTATTAACCACCGGATCAAAAGGCAATGATCCATATTTATGTAACGGTTTTTATAACCATGTATTTGATTTTAATAAAATATACTTTGTAATATTATTTGTAGACAAATGATCTTGTGAGAATATGAGTTAAGATTAAAAAAAAAGGTAAAAAAAGATATGAACCATTGATCACTTTTAATCTCACACCATCTAATGAACTGCGAACAAGGAAGCTGTAAGTAATGCAACTATAAATCTCATGGAGAGTTCGATCATGAAAGACTCTACTGAGACAAAGACTGGCTGTCAAGAATGTGCAATTGCTTTGATTTGAATTATCCGGAGAACATCCGCTTGATACGGAAATTAATTTGGTGCATCTAATGATAATATCTAATAATTACGATCGACGATAAAATATCTCCGAAACATCTTATATACTAAAATGAAAGTTTTAAAAATATACTACCCAAAATAAAAACTAAATTAAAATACATTATTTTTTCATGAAATTTGCCATTTATTTTTAACCTATGTTTAGGGATGGCAAAAAAAACCCAAAACTGATGGTGAAAACCGAAACTTTCGGGCCGGGTTCGGGGACGGGGCGGAGATTGGGGACAAATTCGGGGATTTTAACGGGGACGGGGACGGTGATCACCGGCCCGGCCCGACCCGATAAGTATGTCTATATATATATATTAATTTTAATTTATATACATACATACATACATACACACACACACACACACATATATATATATATATATAATATCATTAAAAGAAAATAATACAATTTAAAAGACTTTTATCCATTTTACCTCAACAATCCAAATAAAGCTCACGAAAAAATCTAGTTTATTTGTTTAAAATCGTGATTTTAGTTGTATGATGTTTTGAATTTTTGTTTAGTTTTATATTGTAATTGGTTCGATTATGTTTCAGACATTTAAACTTACATATTTAAAAAGATTGTATTTAATTATGAAAATTAGCATATTGTAATTTTTTCCAGATCGGTTTCAGGATTCGGTTATAACCAACAGTGAAAATAGGATTTTTACCCTTGACGTTTTCCCCAACGAGGATCGGGGCAATTACATGAACGATTTTAGCTATCGATTTCAGGAACATGAATACCAATACCCAACCCGAACCCGATCCGTTGCCCTTCCTACCTATGTTGTCATTTGACTTTACAGAAAAAGCAAGATATATTTTAAGAAAAAGTGAAATCATTTGTAGTGGGAAAAAAAAGAGATTGAAAAATTGTTGTTATTATTTTGTTGGAATAAGTAAATAATTAATAATAAAATAATAAAGTGGTCCAATTAAGGTACCGTCAAATGAGGAGCAACTCTGTAGCCGTCTATCTCTACTGCTACTACCCTACATGCTTTGAAAAGTCAGAAGGTTAAATACGTAAATTCACACAAGAGCCTCCCTTCTTTACCCCGCCTTTCCTATCCTGCTTTTGATAACCGCCACATGATTCCTCCCCAAATTTTGAATGTTACCACTGTTCCTGCCACCTTACATTATCAATCTATACATACATAAATCTTATATCTATATATCTCTAATAATTTAAGAAAAAATGAATTTAATTAATTAAAACCTTAATATGTCTCTAAAATGAGAATGAAGACAAAAAACAGGAAAGAGAAATTGAAGATATCAGAGGAATAACAGTGGTTTCTCTATTCAAAATTACAACATATATAGAATCAAGAACCATACACAAAGATAGGATAACTGTTTCTAAAAAATTCTTATGGGAATGAATCTGTTTTTGAAGAATTGGATGATACCCAGTTGGGTTTTGTCTTGTTTACTTCTAGTTTTGGTGCCAATGGATGCTGTTAGGCCAGACCCTCCTCTTTCCTCCATTGCTGATCCTGTTCTTCCCACCGAGAAAAAGCCTCCATTTTCTCGAATACCCACGGAATATGAAGCTCATTCTCCAGGTAATCTCGCAAAAACCCTTCATTTTTGTGATTTGTGACTTTGAGATGTGTAAATGGAATGGATTAGGAAAACGTGAAATGGGTCACTGAAAACGTAGGCCATCTGTTCGACGATATGACTCACTCGCAATGCACTTATATCATGACCTCTTGATGATATGATGACCTTTTCACATGAATCTTTACACATGATTTAACCAAAAGGGGTTTGTGGTCTCGTTTTCGCTTTTGGTAAAAGTTCATTTTCTTTGCTAAACATTAATTGATTCCTTGCCAAAAGCAGGAGTGTCAGAAATCATAGTTCACCATGAGGATTTAAACAAGAAGATTCTTGTCGCCCTCATTATTGCTTCAACTCTCCTTGCTGGAATCTTGGTGTTCTTATTCTGTTTTTGGATCTTCAAGCAAAAGAATTCAGAACCCCTGAATGCCAAACAACCCCCAAAATGCCAAGGTATCTTTAATCTTTCATCCCTTAAACCAACATTCTAAAAAGAATTATTCTAATAGTATCATTTGGTATTCATATAGATGCTTCAAAAGGGTTGTCATTGGGTCCAATCTTAGATAAATTCACCCCTTCAAGAATTGCTGGTAGAAAAGGCTCAGTAACTGTTATTGACTACGAGTGGTTGGTTTCTGCGACAAACAATTTTCATGAAGAGAATATCGTCCGTGTGGAGACGTCCGGCCATTTGTATAAAGCTCGTTTTAATGATCATTTTGTTGCAGCTGTGAAAAGACTCCATGGCAGAGGACCAGATGCCCAAAGAGGATTTGAGGTCACTTATGAACACATTCCCTTCTCTATATGTATATGTATATGTATATGTATATGTATATGTATATGTATATGTATATGTATATGTATATGTATATGTATATGTATATGTATA